GTGTCAGTGAGTGGGAATCCGTCATAATTAGTCAGAGAGATCCAGTGAGAAAAAGAGAGTCACTGATAGACAGTCAGAGAGAGTTAGTAAGCGACAAAGTTGGACAGATACCTGATCAGTAAGAGAAAGTTATAAAGAACGGGCATCTTCAAAGAAGGACAGTGAGTCAGAGAAGTCAAAGAGGGTCAATGAGAGAAAATCATTAAGAAAAATAGTCAGTGCGAGAGACAGTCAGGGAGAGTCAGTCAGAGAGAGTTAGCAAGAGACAAAGTTGATCAGATACGTAATCAATAAGAGAGAGTCATACAGAAAGGGCGTCACTCGAAGAGAGAGAGTGGGAATCAGATGTGTCAAAGATGGTCAGTGAGAAAAAATCACTTAGAAAGACAGTCAGTGCGATAGACAGTCAGTCAGAGAGAATCAGTGATAAAAAGAGAGTCACTGTCAGATGTCAATCAGAGATGGAGTTGGTTAGAGAAAAAATAAGTCAAAGAGAGTCTCGATCAGAAAGAGTCACTATAAGATAGTGGGTCAGAGAGAATCAGAAAGAATTAGTCTCATTAAAAATCAAATAATGTAATTGAGAAGCTTGCTCAAACTCCAACTTTGATTGAAATAATAAATGAATTCTTGGATAACTATTAATTAACATTGTATAATCTGAATACCACATCAAATAAAAACACAAAATTCGAGCCCAATGATACTAAAAAAGCAAAATAAAAACAATACAAAAGGTGTGATCCTATAAAAAAATAAAATGACGAATTCTTCGTTGAAATTGTTCATTTCTTGTAACAACAAAAGTGTTTATCATTGACTGAAGAAATTAAATGTCGTTTTAATATTTCGCTCAAGGTTCTTGTCTGGTTACCCTTGCTTGTACTAAGTTCCTTTTTTATCGAATATGGTATTGGATCATGGAGTCAGCCACGCCTGGTTTGGCACACGTCCTTATCAAATTTTAGCTCTCGATACTTATCGAAAATTACACGTATCGATTTCAAATTAACGAAACAACCTGAGGCCGAATTTTATACGAGAAAGATGTTAACTGTATATTAAATGCTATAATTTTAATATCGCCTTTTGTTTCCTTGACACTTAGGCTTGAAGAAGTCTAACTTGTTCCTTTAACCTTTAAATGTCAGTGAGCATCGGCCTGAGTCTTTATAAATAATAATTTTAGATTTGTTATTAAAATATATGATCATTTGATTGGACATTAGTAGGTACCGAGAAATGATTTTGTGCTAAATGTTACTTTTTTTCTTCATGTACCTGGCATTGTTCTAAAGGTTAAATTTATCATTTATCAAAATAGAAATAGGCAAGTAATAATTGAATGTATTTGATTTTTTTTAAAATCATTTTGATTTTTGTAGAGATAATTTGTCTTCATGCACTGCAAATAGATTTTTCTCTCCTGCCTTCCAATTAAAATGACTCTGAATTTGCAGAATTCACGCCGAATCATAGGTAAACAAGTTCATTTTGGCACGTTACAACTCCTTCTTCTACGATAGAAGAAAAAGTTACAGAGGAAGTTTTTCTGACGATATCCTTAGCAAAATCAAAGTTTACGGGCAAAATCAAGAACCAAGATTTGATATAGGGAACCTCAAAAAATTGAATATTTTCATATTTCGTTTGGCAATTTTTTCCATTTCCTCATGTATATGTCAATTGTTACGGAAATAACCCACAACAGGTTTAATTTTTATTATTTCTTATTTAATATAATTTTCTTCTCTATTATTTACCATAAAAATAATATTCTAAAAAATAGATGCTATTGCTGGACTATTTATCCTGTAAAACCGGCAACAACAACCCTTTGAACCAATAAAATTGCAAGTTTCTTCATTACCTTATAAGGTAGTGGACCTTTCTCGCCGTTGTGATTGATCAGCCGCCACATTGTTTCCTAGTTTCTGCGACCTGCTCCCTGGCAGAGCTAGTCGACGCACATTCTTCAGTACTACTAGAATAACCGATGAGTTCGCGCCCTCGCGCCCTCTGATGCTCCCCAGAAGCAAAACCCCCAAAACCCCTGTTAGTACGCCCGATTTATAGTAAAATATACTACTCTCTGTGTCTCAAGGCCTGACATGGTCTAAATTATTGATTACAATTCATGTAATTAACCACTAATTATCACCTCGGACGAGCAAAATTCTCTCGCCTGTTTTTGGCTCTCTCTCTCTCACTCTCGCCGGGCTTCAACGCGCCTGCATGTGCATATCGTTGTGTTTTCATCTCAGCGGAAAATTCCCTGGCTGCCAGTGTGAATAGTGATAAATGGATAAATAATCGCCTTGTGAATTTATCTGCATGAACCGGATTAAGCAAGTAAGACTGTTACAATTTCTCTAACAGTCGAACAATAAATACAGATTAGTGATTCGCTTGAAATGCACTATAATTTGATGTGTCTTCTAACGTTTAATGCAGAAATTTGATTTCACACTCGTGAAATTAACATTTGTACATTTGTATATCAGTGCCCGCGGAAAAGTCTGCACCATATGGGAATTTTTTTTATGCTCATCCTTACTTCAAATCCGTTTTTGGCATTAGGTTCTACATGACTGAAAACCAAAAAAACACCTAAAATTTTTGACTCGAGACTTGCCTCACACCTGTCAAATGCCATTTGAAAATTTCAAACAAGGAAAAGTGGCATTTTTATGAAAAATATGAAAAAAATTTATAAGATTATTCCACTCATGTGTTAGAAATCCCATAAGACAAGTGACGATTTTCAGAATTACAGCGAAAATTCTCTTTTCCATTTGTTTAACTAGAGAGAATTACAGCGATAATTCTCCTATGTTATTGTATACATGGTTGTCATGCTAATTTTTGATACAAACAAACGGTTCCTGATAGCAACCATTTATTTGTATTGATTGTTAAGATGTTCAAATCGTTTAATACATATTTATTTACATATTTTTTGCATCCTCATACGTGAAATAATCTATGGAAAAATAATATTTTTAGGATTTTTTTCGCGACCATTCCTCTAAAAAAATTAGTTTGTATCTAACTAATGGTTTTTCAAATCCTAATAATCTAATTAAGAGTTAAAACATCAAAAAGAAATATGTATTTCTATTAAAATCTTGATACGCCTCTGGACTATTTTAAAAATTGTTTGCTTTGAAATATATTTTTTTCAAAGCAAAAATATCAAATTAGACTCTAAATATCATTTGGAACAATATTTTCTTTTAAATTTTTTTCATATTTTTTATAAAAATGCCACTTTTCCTTGTTTGAAATTTTTTCAAATGGCATTTGACAGGTGTGAGGCAAGTCTCGAGTCAAAAATTTTAGGTGTTTTTTTGGTTTTCAGTCATGCAGAACCTAATGCCAAAAACCGATTTGAAGTAAGGATGAGCATAAAAAAATTTCCCATATGGTGCAGACTTTTCCGCGGGCAGTGATATACAAATGTACAAATGTTAATTTCACGAGTGTGAAATCAAATTTCTGCATTAAACGTTAGAAGACTTCAAATTATAGTGCATTTCAAGCGAATCACTAATCTGTATTTATTGTTCGACTGTTAGAGAAATTGTAACAGTCTTACTTGCTTAATCCGGTTCCCATATGGTGCAGACTTTTCCGCGGACACTGTACATAGAAACTGGAGCATATGTAAAGACTTTTCTTGCACATATTGTTTACAGACTTCCGCAGAAAAGTGCTCAAATTGTTAACTCTCAATAAATAAAAGAACTTTCAAGGATCAATAAACATTTTGTGATTACAGTGAACTGATTGAAATTGACGAATTATTTATGTTGTGCTCTCGCAGTTAATTTGTGTTTTCGTTCACTTAACATTTAACCATAAATTATATTATTATTATCAGATTTCCCTACCTTTTATAAATCAAGATACTTACTTACTTTACAATAGTATAAATTATAAAATTTGTAGTTCGACTGGACGTCCAATTAGGAATTTTTAGATAGGATTTGATTGATCTATACCGAATTTCTTTCATTTATTAATTAAATTGATAATTATTCTATTTCAGTGTTTTATTTGTATACATGAGAATCAAGGCAACTCCTAACCAGTAATACAAGGCTTAAATGATCCAATACGTAGTGGTAATATTTACAGTCAGTCAAAGTAAAAACTTTTGACATCCCTGGTGCGGTTTGACTAAAGCCCAAAAAGGAGCAATAGCTATTTGCGTCGCATCAATATTGAAACTTGCAACTAAGCACTTTTTGAGATGTACCTATCTATTTTCGATTTATTCTGCAACTCAAAAAAATACAAAACATTATCTCTGATTCATTTTGAATTGCGTAGGTATTATGGCATTTTTCTTGTATTCTCAGAAGCATGAAAACTCGCATGAAATTTATAATACTCGATCGCCTTGACAATAACCAAGACAAAAAATTTGAATAATCTAATTCAATAATAATTTCCCAAAAGAATTTTGTTTATTATAGCATAAGCACAATATCCTGGTTCTTTGAAATTTTGGAAACTTTCAAGTTTGATCATAATCTAAGTTATCTTGGTCTTCACCTACCTACTTGAATACCTAGTTGGTCCAATTTTTCACAAATAATTAAGAAAACGCTACGGTTGCTCAAATTACAATTATTATCGATGACTCGATTTAATTTCACCGTTTAAGGTAACGGAGAATTTTAATGGTTGATTCAGTTGTGAGATGTCGCAAAAACAAGGACAACAGAATTAGCCCTGTCGCCTAATTAATTTTCATTTGTATTAATGATTAATTTCACAGTTAATTTATTACATTAATCAGTTTCTAATTAATCAATGATGTAACCAAACAAATAAGATGCCTATGGCGCTAATGTTTAAATTATAATTTGCCAGCTGTTAATCTCTTTTTCTATATTTGTTACCAATTTCTTAGAATCCAATCCTTTCTCTTCTTCTTCACGGTCACCCCCAAGTCGATACTTGGTCAAAAACCAAATAAATAAAACCAACGATCACGTATTTAAAAACAGTTTTTATTACTGAGGAATTTAAAAATAAAATTATAATTTACACACAAAAAATTGTAACCTAAAGTGTCATATAAATAATATTTAAGATTGTTATATTATGTTACATAATTTATGTCGTTTTTTTTTTTTTTGGCGTGTGAAAGTCCACCGACGACATTATTAATATAGCGTTCTAGGAGAAAAATTAACAGTCTAATCTTATTCAGATATCATTTATTACAAAATAAAACAACAAAAAGATCACGCATACAGTCATTTCACATAATAAATATAAAAAGAGTAACGTAAAAGAAAAGATCACTTTGACCCTGATTCGGCAAGGGTGACACCACTATTATTAATTTAAAAAAAAGTCCATTAAAATTTGACTTAGAAAATACCATCTCCGGTGGGATCGTTTAACCATGGGTAATTATTTGGACATCTTACACAAGTTTGAAGATTAATAGTTTCGCCGGGAACCTCTTTGGAAGTCAACTTGCAACTGTGAGGTACCCAACAGGCAGGTGGTCCTTCAACCACACACTTTTCCCTCCAAGGATCGAAATTCTTAGCTTCCGTAACGGTTCTGGGATTCTGAATCCATTGAATAACTTGAGTCATGGTAACAAAGTATACATCATTATGGTTGGATAAAATTTCATCAATCCAATACAGGAAAGCGTCCAAGAAATCGGGATTGTTTTTCAACCAAGCTGCATGGAAGTACAAACCCATCGGAGCACGATTTTCCAAATAATGTCGGTCAAAGTTGTGGTTTAAAAAGTTGTAGAATTGATCTCCTGTTAAGATGTTTGAGCAAGAGTCGACCATAGCGCAACCAGGAATGTTTTCGTCGTTGGTAGGATCTTCTCTACGGTCGAGTTCGTTCAAAACCATTTCCCAAACGGCGTGAGATCTGGTTGGACAACTTTGAAGGTTTCCGTGACATCTGTGAGGCATACGGAAGTACATGGTGTACGGCCATAATGGTGGATTGTTCAATGGGGCGGTAATGGTGGAGTCGTATAAGAAAGCTTCTTCTTCCATCATGGTAAATTGATTGTTACCGCCTACTCTGAGGTAAGGGGCACGGACACCTACAACACTGTTGTCGGTGATGTTAGCGTATTTTTCAGTAATAATTCTTTGGCCTCCCATCTCTTTCACCCAATCGTTGACCGTTGCGTTTGACCAGAAACGTTCATCGTCGTTGTGACTGAAAAGTGAACAATACAAATTTTAGGTTTCACGGTACAAATATAGACTTGGTACTTGATAAAAGAAAAGGTTATGCGTCGCTACCCAATTAAAATTCAATCAGACACTCGAACTACCGGTAAGGAATAACTAAAACGTAACCAGAATTACGTGAGCGAATGGACGTGGATTTCGTGACCTTTACTGTGCATTTCCTGTTTCTACTCAATGACGGTGGTGAATTTTAATGTAAAAATTGGAAAACTATGAATTTATTTTGTGATTATTACACGTACCTACACAATAAAGGTTGCTTCGAAATATTGAGGCTCGAGAATGGTAAACCAATGAAAAACTTAATAGATAGAAAACATTTGGGAGTATAAAGGTGTTTGGAAGTGATAATAAACTAAGAAATTTATAAAATAGGCTTAGTGATGATGATATTATTTGAGAAAATGGAGGAAAACTCCGAATACAAAATTGCCAACTTCAGATAAAAATCCAGAAATGCGAGGGGAGAGTAACTCTTTGAATACCTGGAACAAGCTTCAATACTATAAATTAATAAAGTATGAAGAAAAATTGCCAAGTTCACTAGAAAAAAGCATGAAAAAATCAGAAATAGATAGGAACCTAAACAACATCCGTGATATACAGGGTGTCCCAGAATATGTGGGCAATCTCTCGGATTCAGATAGAATACAAAAAAATAACATGACAACTTCCTATGAAAAAAAAAATCCTACGGCTTCCCCTACGAAGTTACGTGCCCCTAAAGGACGCCTCTGAAAATCGGTTTTTTGTTGATAATTTTGAAAATACTGCGTGTAATTTTTTTTTCTTTTAATATGATGGATACTAGATAAGAACCCTCAAAATGGATCCTTTCAAACACACTTGGCCAATCTAGTTTGCCAGGACTAGCTTTAACACAATAATGCTAATTTTTTTACACCCTGTATGATATAGGCATAGCAATAATATTTTTAGATAGTTTTAACCTTGAACTAGGAAAAAGGTAATCTTATTCGATGTCAAAAAAATGAGATGGTTTCGAGAAAAATCTGTTTTTCTACAAACGTCACTAAAAGTGTCATTTTAAACGGATGCTGGTGTTAAAAGTGATTACTTTTAGCACTAGTGCTAAAAGTAAGCACTTTTAGTGCGTTTGTAGAAAAAATAGTGTATGATATTCGTGCTAAAAGTGATTTTATTTTGTTCAGAGGGATCCAAGGGACCCAAACTTCCCTTTTCACAAAATAAAATGTCACTTTTAGCACTTATATCATAAATAACTATTTTGTGTATTAATGGTTTTTTATTAAATAATTTTTTATGTCGACTCGACATGAGATCCTTCTAATCTTACGCATTCCATACCTATTTTAATGAAAGATTGTTCGACTCTCGACAATGATTCAATATTAGCCCTTATTCCACGACAGTGAAAATTAATCCTTTCTACTAATATTTCCTCAGTGTCATTATTGCGTTAAAGCTAGTCCGTCCCTGGCAAACTAGATTGGTCAAGTGTGTTTGAGAGGGTCCATTTTAAGGGGTCTTATCTAGTATCCATTATATTAAGAGAAAAAAAAATACACAAAGTATTTTGAAAATTATCAACAAAAAACCGATTTTCAGAGGCGTCCTTTAGGAGCACGTAACTTCGTAGGGGGGGCCGTAGGCATTTTTTTTTAAAGGAAGTTGTCATGTTATTTTTTCGTGTTCTATCTGAATCCGAGAGATTGCCCACATATTCTAAGACACCCTGTAGATACGGAAAAACGGAATATAACAGAATATAAAACTCATGAAGAAGACATATTAAGAAATATAACGAAGTAATAATAGAAAGAAAATAAAAGCCAGAAAAAAAAATCATTCTCATAAAAAATGAAGATTCAAAAGAAGAAATGGAAAAGAGCAAGAGCTGTGCACCACTGAGAAGTTTCCATCGCGCATCAAAACACCAAGATGGATACACAAATCAATAACAAGCGAAGGATAGGAAATTTCTGTTTTCGAAAATATATCAGATATCGAAAAATTTGAGATCAAGAAGGCAATCGACGATTTGGAAGAAAACAATGTACAAGAAGAAGATGAAGTGATAGCTGAAATGTTAAAAACAGAAAAGAATCCAACTTATTAGCACTGAAAAGAGGAAGAGACAATAATAATTTTTCAAGAAAGCCTTAGACGTAAGCTTTGTGGAAAGATTTTGATGAATAAGAAAAAAAGAAGAACTGAAAAAGATGGAGTTGATGACAATAAAGGAAAGGTTTAAAAAATTTAGAAAAAAATAAGAAAGAAATTGGTGATGATTATGAAAGATGAAAAATAGCACGAAATACAAATAGCCTAGAAGCAATTCAGCAGATGGTAGTGATGTAAAGTTTCGATACTTTTGAATACCTGTACCGATTCGATACTTTTGATATCAATACCCGATACTTTTATTGGATATTTGTGTATCATTGAACTTTTTTCTATTTTATAATTTTTTATTTACCCAAGAATCATAGGCTTGAAGGATTTGGTATTTAAAAGGTAATGGTAATGGTGAATTATTGTACCTAATTGTTTTGGGTACTTACTAACCTACCTACCTATTACTTATTTATTTTGGTTACCAAAGACAAAAATAAAATATTCGTTATTTTTTAGATACACAATACACAGTAGGTACCTATTTCAAAACTTTGATTATGTATAAATAATTCTACTAGAATATTGTAATTTAGGAAATATATTATAGGTTTATAGGTATAAAAGTATCGGGTATTTTGAACAACAAGGATTCGATACTTTGGGTATTGAGTGAATACCCGGTACTTTGTAAATTCGGATAGGTACCTACTTTTTTTACATCACTAGCAGATGGTAATTCTAAAAGGATAAGAAGGATTAAAATAGAAATTTTTCAAAAGAAGTCCTACTTCTAAAATAAAATGAGGGTATTGAAAGTCTGAGAAAATTGATGATAATAATTATAAAAAATTTCAAAAACCTAAAACTGAACATTGAAGAAAGTACAAAAGTATATTCAAAGATGAATTTACAAGGAAAGAATAAATAATAAAATTCGTAACTTTGGTTGTGAGTATCATGTCAACTTCTAACTTGTTTTATTTAATGAAAACACTCTAATTAATAAATTCTGAAAGTTTCCAGTTGCTGTGATGACTCAGAGTATTTTTTAGGAACCTTCAAAGGTGATTTCAAAGGAATTTTATGATTTTCTCAGGTATCAATGTGTAATAAAATCCGTAACATTGGTTGTGAGTTTCACATTAACTTGCAACTTGTTTTGCATCATGGAAAAACTCTGGTTATTAAATCCTGAAAGTTTCAAGTTGCTGTGATGGCTCAAACTATTTTTCAGGAACCTTCAAAGGTGATTTTTTTACAGGAATTTTATGATTTTCTCAGGTATTAATGATTAAAAAAATCTGTAATATTGGTTGTGAATTCCACATCAACTTGCAACTTGTTTTGGATCATGAAAAAAACTATAGTTAATAAATCCTGAAAGTTTCAAGTTGCTGTGATGGCTCGGAGTATTTTTCAGAACCTTCAGAGGTGATTTTACAGGAATTTTATGATTTTCTTAGGTAGGTATTAATGATTTAAAAAATCTATAACATTGGTTGTGAGTTTCATATCAACTTCCAACTTGTTTTATAATATGGAAAAACTCTAGTTATTAAATCCTGAAAGTTTCAAGTTGCTGTGATGGCTGAAAGTATTTTTCAGTAGTGATTTTACAAGAATTTTATGATTTTCTCAGGACCAATGAGTAAAAAAAATCCGTAACTTTGGTGTGACTTTTATATCAACTTCCAACTTGTTTTGTATAATGAAAAACTTCTAATTATTAAATCCTGAAAGTTTCAAGTTGCTGCGATGGTTCAAAGTATCTTCCAGGAATCTTCAAAGGTGATTTTATAGGAATTTTATGATTTTTTCAGGTATCAATGAGTAAAAAAATCCGTAACTTTGGTTGTGAGTTTCATATCAACTTCCAAAATTGTTTTATATCATGAAAAAAATCCTAACTTATAAATTCTGGAAGTTTCAAGTTGCTGTGATGGCTCAAAGTATTTTTCAAGAACCTACAAAGGTGATTTTAAAGGAATTTTATGATTTTCTCAGGTATCAATGTGTAATAAAATCCGTAACATTGGTTGTGAGTTTCATATCAACTTCCAACTTATTTTTATCATGAAAAAACTCTAGTTAATAAATCCTGAAATTTTCAAGTTGCTATAATGGCTCAAAGTATTTTCCAGGAATCTTCAAAGATGATTTTACAAGAATTTTATCATTTTCTCAGGTATCAATGATTAAAAAAATCCGTAACATTGGTTGTGAGTTCCGTATCAACTTGCAACTTGTTTTGCATTATGAAAAAACTCAAGTTAATAAATCCTGAAAGTTTCAGGTTGTTGTGATGGCTAAAAGTATTTTTCAGGAGTGATTTTACAAGAATTCTATGATTTTCTCAGGTACCAATGAGTAAAAAAATCCGTAACTTTGGTTGTGACGTTTATATCAACTTCCAACTTGTTTTGTATCATGAAAAACTTCTAATTATTGAATTCTGAAAGTTTCAAGTTGCTGCGATGATTCAAAGTATCTCCCAGGAATCTTCAAAGGTGATTTTACATGAATTTTATGATTTTCTCAGGTAGGTATCAAAGTGTAATAAAATCCGTAACATTGGTTGTGAGTTTCATATCACTTTCTAATTTGTTTTGTATCATGAAAAAACTCTAATTAATAGATCCTGAAAATTCTTAATTGCTGTGATAATTTAAAGTATTTTTCAGGAACCGAAAAAGGTAATTTTACAGGAATTTTATGATTTTCTCAGGTATTAATGAGTAATAAAATCCATAACTATGGTTGTAAATTTCATATCAACTTCCAACTTGTTTTGTATCATGAAAAAACTGTAGTTAATAAATCCTGGAAGTTTCAAGTTGCTGTGATGGCTGAAAGTATTTTTCAGGA